GGCGGTCGCGCCGCTCCGCACCTCGTTGCAAAAAAAGTGCATGCGCGGCCACGTCGCTCCGCACCTCGTTGAAAAAGAAAGCACAGGCGGCCGCGCCGCCTCCGCCAAAAAGCTCTCTGGCGGTGATCGCCTCTACCACGATTTTGGGACTTCCGCCTCCTTTCCGCGCCGCCTCCGCCTCGCTTTTTAGGCGCGGTGCACATCTCTGGTGGAAATAAGGAATTATATTTTAACTATCTGATTTATTAATGCTTATTGTAAAAGTAAACTGTATAATAATATAGTATGAAAACATTAATTGATATTATAATAAAATTTCATGATTGGACAATGTCATCATTTTTATTTTCTACTAAACATAAAATTCAAGAAAGTTTTTTTATATATTCAAAACAAAATAAAAAGAAATTCACATTTCCCGCTTATATCAAAATGACGCGCATAATAATTCTAGTTATTATTTAGTAACTAAGTAGTAACAATCAATCAGTTGTTGAGCCTATTTCCCAAAACTAAAAGTTTCCTATTCCTAACATCATTTTATCACGACATATCAAATTATCGGCTGATTAATATTATCATTAATATTAATATCAATTAAACTCATCGAAACAATTTTTCATACTTGCAACGTCTTATTTTATACTTTTTCATACAAAATAAAATAAAATTTCTAATATGGTTGATGTACAAAAAATGATTTTAAATAATTCAATTGATCGTATTGCTATAAATACATTATCGGATATATCATTAGGTAGTGGCCATACGAAAGGTACTGATTCAAGTGGTTATGGTTCAAATTTAAGTAAAAATGATCATAGTCGAACATGTTTAATTGTCAACTATCTTCCACAATCAGTTAAAGAACAACATTTTCGTCAAATGTTTTCACAAATTGGTCGATTACGATATTGTCGTTTGATGTAAATATCATCCTTTTCAAGGTTTCTTCATCCTCAAAAATCTAACTGTAAAATTCTAAAGTCACTAACAAGAATTTTATGCTCTTTCTAACTATCAATATTGAGATTGAGTTTTATTTCAAATTTTAAGAATTCTGGTATAGACGATTAGACAAAGCGCGATAAAAGGTTTCCTGCTTTTTGTGAAGAAAAAACATTCTTCAACGAAAAGATGACGAAAACTATCGAAAATTTTTAGACAAAAAATCCGATATGCTTAATAAAAAAATGATATTGTTTATGAAAAATTCAACCTTAGCTAATTCTCTCATACCTTTTATCTTAATTTTGATAATTTTTTTCAGGTATGATCGTGCGACTGGATATTCCTATGGCTATGGTTTTGTTGATTATTATCGAGCTGAAGATGCAGCTAAAGGTAAATTATTCTATATAGATTTAATTTGTTTTTTTTTTGTTATATTTTCATTCAATTTTATATATAGCAATTGATACACTTAATCAATTAAAAATGGAACATAAAACAATAAAAGTATCTTATGCAAGACCAAAATGTGAAGAAACACGTGGTACAAATCTTTACATAAGAAATTTACCTGGTAAGAAAAATGAATTATCAGTTATCGAGACTCTTTTTTGTTTTTTCTAAAGAAAAATATGATGAAAATAAATTAATTGAATTATTTTCACCATATGGAGAAATAATTCAAGCACGTGTTATTCGTGATCAATCAACAGATAGTCCACGAGGTATTGCATTTGTTATAATGGGTACTCGTTCGCAAGCACAACGTGCAGGTAAACAAAACAAAAGAAAAAAAAAAACAATTTTTTCTTCATCATTAAATTGAAATCGAATTCATTTTTTTGCTTAGTTGAATGTCTTAATGGACAAATTATTGATCATCAACGTCCATTGCTTGTTAAATTTGCTGATGATGATAAACGTCGACGTCAATTAATGGCACGTTATTTACCACAAATTGATAATAATATTTCATCTTTATCAAATTTAACAAATACTCGTGATCCATCGGATATTCTTAATGCACAAATGGCACAATTAAATTTAATTGCCAATGGAAATAATTCAAATAATACTCAACAACAAGGACAAGATATGAATTTACTTATGAATACTTTATTAATGATGCCTTTCTGGTCAAATATATGTGGATCAACAATGTCAATGCCTGTTGTATATCCGAATAATAATATAACAACAACAACACAAAATAAAAGTACAGATCAAATACTTGATACATTAGCAACAACAAATGGAGCGTAAGTGTAATCATTTTTTTTTTGTTTTTTGAAAGTAACTAGTAGTAAATCAATTATTTAGATCAAATTCTTCGTTAACATCAGGTGAATCATTAAATAATGGTACTGGTCAACATTCAAGTGTAGATTCAAATGATTCATCATTAATTTCATCGAATATAATTGATGTATCAACTGGTGGTTTTGTTGTTTTTATTTATGGTATTGGACCAGAAACAACACAGGAAGAAGTTCTAAATATATTTCAAGGTTTTGGACCTATACTTCGTACAGATGTTATTAAAAATAAACGAACAACAGTTGGAAAAGGTTTTTGTTTTATTAATATTTTTTTTAAATATAAATTGCAATAAATCAATTTTAGGTTATGGATTTGTTGTATTTCGACATATGAATGATGCATTAGCATCGATTAAAGCATTACATAATATGCCATATAAAGGTCGTTTTTTGCAAGTACGATTTCGTGTATAACAAACAGATCAGCCTATTATTTATTTTCAATATTCTATTCGTTTATATTTTATGTTGATGTTAAACAAAAATATATTTCTCTTGTCTTAATTAATGGATGACATAAGAAAAACTCCATTAGTTAAAGTCAAGTGCTTATATGTATAACATATGTTCGAGTACACTTCTGTTTGTCGTGATTCAGTTCGTGTACATTATTCTTATGTTAATATTATTAGAATATAGAAAAATAAATATATCGATTTGGTTCATCCGATCGAACGAAGAATGAAATAAGATATATTTCATCAATGTTCATTGTTATTCTATGATAAATTGTTGAGTTTGAATTACAAAGGAAATACAGATCTTAACAAAATATTTGATATATTTAACGTAAATATAACTATTAATTTTTACTAGATTCTTATGTCTTACACGAAGATTGTTGAATGCATCGTTGCTTTTTCTATACTAATCGATACAACGGCTGGATCAAGTCAGATCAATCTTTATAAGATTCCGATTGGAAAATTAAGAATAACAAGGAGAAGGAAAGCGAAGCGGTTCAGTGTGGGTGTGGATGTTGCAATGAGTATGTACACACCCAAAACTATGTTTTGTATGGAGCCCTGCTCGAGTGAGATCCGTCTCCGATTTGGAACCGAAGTCTACGAGATTCTATTCCTCCTCAACATAAAAACAAAAATTGTCTAACCTTATCGTACAAGCAATATGCCTTTGCACAACGTCATATACAGTAACTCAAACAATTTGTTGGTCATATCTATGGAATGTATGTGTAAAGTTGAAAGGTCGTGTTTCAATGTTACGTTGTCTAGCCGAAGAAAACATGCATATTATTCTGTTCTCTCTGTTTTGCTTCTGCTTGCTTTTCTCTATCTTATATGCCATTTGTTTTCAAAATCATATGTCCCTTTAGGCTCTATCATAGGTAGAAGGTTAAATAAATATTGCATGAAAGTAAACTATGTTTTCTTGAAACATTGTTATTATAAAATGACATTTGACAATTGATTATTGATTTATTATTAATAATGAACTTATCCAATGAACAACTTTAATAGAAAAATAATGAGAAAAGAATTTTTACTTTTATTTAATTAATTTTTTTAAATGATTACCCGGAATTCCAAGATCCGCTTTTCCCCCTTGCTTGAAACACTAAGTAGATTGATTCAAAATTAATCAGTCGCTACAGTAATCAGATGAATCAACAAGATCCAGTCTACAACTCAAGCACAACCAAATATTATTTCTCTGAATTACATATCATTGCATAGAGCGCAAAAATATGTATCAATTAATATATGATTAACGAAGGGCTTATGTAATCAAACGAATTGTCATATGAATTACTATCAGAAGACTATAGGTTCTAATCAATGACAGAATGGTTATTTCTTAATGAATTATGCATCAATCGATAGAACTCGTTGAGCTCTATCTCCTGTATGAATTTCACAAATGTCTTATGTACTGAGACGAATCGTTAGAGATTCTACGGAAAGCTCTGCTTTGTTCGTACAGGAAAAACTTCGTATTTTTGTAATATTGACATTATAGTGCATTGTATATCAGATCCGCATATACCATAGAATAGAGCTCGTTGAGATGCACATGGCTGACTAGTTTGTTTTTGTGACTTAACCATAGGAAAGAATCGTCTTTGGAAAAACTCAAATCGACTGCTACCTTTCCTTAGATCTATCCCTATGCGACTATAGAACAGTAACTCCTGTTAATATGAATCAATTTTTTTTTAAAAGGTTTAATAAAAATTAAATTCTTTTTTTTTCATTCTTCTTCATTTTTTCGTATAAATAAAAACGGCGACTAATAATGAAAATAATATCAACGATAGACAAAAAAAAAATGTTCGTTCATTAATCAATTGGACTATTCGGCCAGGCTATACATTTCTTCTACGAGATCACCTATTCATTTTGTTCAATCATAGCAGCCGGTAGAGACAAATAATGAACATATATATATACGTCATAAGAAAAGAGATAGTCAAACTCAATATGAACCAATCTAACGTTGGCCTTCTTGATTTACCTAATGAAATATTACTTATCATTTTGAAAAAGCTCGGCAATATGGATGTTCTTTATTCATTATTGGATGTTCAGAATCAACGACTTAACATAATAGTACAAGAAAAAACTTTCACTAATACTCTCAATTTTGTATTAACAACATTAACTGATGATATTTTTTCGCTTACTGATACAATAGTTGATCGATTTTGCACAAAATGTTTTGCCAAGAATTCATCACAATGTTAAATCTCTTATTGTTGATTCAGCATCTATGGAACGTATTCTTCTTGTTGCTGATTATCCTAATTTAACTGAACTTAAATTCTTTAATTTTAATCATAAAGTTGTTTCACGTTATTTTACAGGTAAATATCGTTACGTATTGATCAGAGGATAGACTTCGATGAAAAATTCTTGTATAGATAGACAAGAGAATAACTTTTTTTGTTTTTTATTTAGATCAATCACCATTTCGACGTATTTTTCAACAACAAATTATAGATCTTATTCTTGTATTCAAAGAAGATATGAATAAAATATCAGTAAAAGATTATACAATAGATGTCTATGGATATATTATGAAATTCTTCGAAAATCTAAAACATTTATCTATTACTGGATCATATCCCTACTATTTTCCACCTTTGGAACTTCATCATCTACCGTTAACTACCTTATTCTCTTCAACTCTTGACAAATTATGTATTCATGTGATGAGATTTGAAGATTGTCTTGCTTTACTTGATGGTCGTCTTAAACAATTAAAAACATTGATTGTTGATATTTGTTGTATAGAATATCCTTCATGGAGAGTTTACAATATGGTAAGTTTATATTGTATTAGTTTAATCTTTTCAACTTAAAAAAAATACTATTGATCAGAGCGGTGACGGTCTATCATATTATTATAGATAGGATTCGTTTTGCTAGTGAATTCCTATGTAAATGAACTATAATTAAATAGTCATAAAATGAATGCTTGTCTATTCGATGATCAAATATAGTTAATTTTGTATATTATATTTAATTATATTAACTATTTCGTGCTTATGAGTTGATTTGAATAAATAAATCGAATGATTGCATTTGATTTTAACAAACAAACTGTTTAGTTTTAGTGAGTTTTTGATCTATTGATCATGTATTTTTTTCTACTGAAAAATGATCAGTTTTAAAAATATATCTAGTTCTCCGAAAAGTCGAGAAGAGATCAAACTTATTTTAGTCTAACGTTATTCCTTCACAGTTGCAATCAATCGTTGATTTTTTCCTCTTAGTCATTTTAATCATTTTCATATATTTTATAACGTATAGAAAAACTCTAAGAATCACAAATATTAAAGAGTATAAGTGTCAAAGGTAATAAGAAAATTGAAAGAAAAATAAAAGCAAGAGGCTCATGAATTATAGGTGAGAATAGATAAAGAATATATGAAATATCGAAACAATTATAAAAAAGTTACATCGACGTAACTTTCATTTGTTTTGAATGGATGAGTTTTCGGTGAAGATTTTAGTATAAACAACATTTGTTCGATGAAATTCTGATGATTTGATATAATGGAAATAGTCATGCGTTACCTGATGATATGAATTATTGTCTGTACAAATAATATTGTTCTACTATAGGTATAATAACAAATTTGACTGAAACTTTTCGAGTAATTTTAATATCCATTATTTCTTATGTGGTAAAAGTTCTGAAATACAATATAATTATCTTAATCATCATTGAAGAAGAAGATTTATATATCATACAGTAGACGTATTTTAAAATGGATTGAATTGAAGCAGCTTCTTAAACAGTTATTCACCTGAAGTTTTTCTTGTTTAATCGATAGGAATATATTTAGAAATATTGATTTTTACTTTCTAGGATGATCTCCCTAATTTAAAATATTTCTCTTTAACATCGGTTGACTACTTTACTAATAAATATGATACTGGGATTCTACCTCTTTTTCGTCGTATGTCAAATCTTGAAGAATTAAATTTGTATATTATGGCCAAGGATCGAACTACATTTCTCGATGGTACTCACATTTATAATGAAATTCTTGTTCATATGCCTCGACTTCAGATATTTAACTTTTATATTTCTACCCTCGTTGGAATCGATCCTTTAGTTCGTCATCTATCGAAAGATGATATTCAACGAACACTTAGTAATAACATAAAATATCAACAAGTGGATTGTATTGTAAACTATGAATATAATTTTGTCAAATGTCATGTCTTTTCATTACCGTTTATGTTTGAAGATCTCTACAATATTGGCAATACATTTCCAAATGTTATTTTCAGTCATGTTAGAAGATTATCGGTGATCGATATTGTTCCATTCAATCATGAATTTTTCAACCGAATTGCTTGCTCTTTTCCTTTGCTTAAAGACTTAGGTGTTGTTAATTTTAATCCACAATCATCAATATCAGACGAACGGAACTCTAATGATAATCAATTGTATTTAATTGTTAAATTGAATTATCTTATTTCGCTTTATCTGGTGGATGTTCATATTGATTATGTCGATCAATTTCTCAATGAAAGAAAAACACATCTACCTCGTCTAACTGAATTAACAATTGATTATGATCATTTAACAATCGTCACAGATAACTTTACAAGAGATACAACACGGCTTAATTGTATCAATGTGAAAGAATTAAATTCCTATAACACAAGAGTACAACAGTCAAAAGATTTTTATGTTTATTTTCCTCTGTTAAAACCTTGATTTTGTTCGAACTAAATTAATAAAATGAATAATGAAAATATTAATAGTATTTTTTCAGTCTAACCATAATGACGAAGAATTATTAATTAGAAATGCTTATTAACTCTGCAGTTTTTTTCTCATATATGAAAAACCTATTACATTTGAAAAATGAATGCTCTAAACCAAACAGTGAGATGTCAAAAAGGATCGAAGATGCTATATTTGACAGCAGCAGTTTGTCAAATAAAAAAAAACTACCTGTCACTAAACTTCTCTTAATTGTTAATATATTCCTGTTATGATATCGAGTATTTAATGTATTTTTCTTTCATAAAAAGATCTTTTGTAAGGATTAATTGACATCAGTAATTCATAGAATACACCTAGACCTATACGCTTTTTTTATTTATTATTTGTGTCAATTATTATCAAATTAAATTTCAATTATCTTCATCCAGTTTTTATTTTTCTCTATCAATTGGCAGATGTTGAAAATTTAAATGAAATAGTTTTCTTTCCTTTCTTCTTCAAAGTTTTTTTTTATTATTCATTTGCATTTAGATGTTTTCTTAACGGAAACATACAAACGTATTAGTAAAAATGTTTAGTCCCTATGGTATATGTCTTATGTTAATAACGATAATATATTTCAATATAGTCAATACAGTATCTGTAAGATCAACAAATATCAAAGAACAACATCAGACATCGTCCTCCAAAGTTTCATTCGAACGATTTGATATGAATCCCAGCAATTTTTTAATTAATCATCCATATTATGATGATGATGTTGTCAAAGATTTGATTTTTCATAATTAACGAGGACTCAAAAAGGGCTAAATTCTTCCAAGAAGATCAATCACGTTATACTATAGCATTTCCTACTCTTATTCGTACGTGTCGATGAATCGAACAAGAATATTAACATCACTATCAAGAAATACATAAAAATCATTTTGTGGGTGAGTGTGGGTGTGGGTGTGGGGTGTGTGGGTGTGGGTGGCGGTGTAGAAGTAAAGCAATAGAGACACCCACATCTACTCCCATGCCCACCCACACCCACATCCACACACATCCTTTTACGAAAACCCCTAAAAATACTACTTTCTCCAACAGGGATCCTAATGTGACCATATCTCCATAATACCTCTATGAATTGAACTCAAATTTTGTATACAGTCACAACTTAATGACTTCTATCTGTGATAAAATTTTTCCTGCAAAAAATATGACATAATTCGGTAATTATGAGTCATAAAAGATACAGAAAATGGAGTTTTTTCACTAACAAGGGAACATTCCCAGGTGAAGGAAAACTTTTCAGCTGGGGTTCCGCGCATTCTGTAGCCCATAGTGAGCTATATCTATGGTAAAAAATGTTCGGGTTTCTGGTTTGTTTCTGCGGAGATATGGAGCTTCTGGTGAATTTTCTCTATAGCACACCCACATTGACAACCAAAGTTTACTTTCGAATTTTGAACTGAAACTTTGCCTATACAAAGGCCTCAGCTAGACTAGCTTGCATAAAAAATTTCAGAAGTTTTGAAAAAAA